ATGAAGTCTGATGTCAAAAGTATACATATCGAACACAAGTAATCAGAAAAGCAAAAATTGCACATGTGAAAAAATTCAAATATCCAAAACCTTCTTATCGAACACAAGAAATTCAGTAAAAAAAATTCTCATCTGATAAAAGTCTAATATCGAAAATATACATTTGGAACACTGAAATCAGATAAATAAAACAAAAATTATTACATAAAAGGTCTAATTTCCAAAATATACTCATTGAACACAAGAAAGCAGACAATTAAACAAATATTCTCATCTTATAAAATTCTAAATACAAAGTGAATATATTGAACAAAGAAATTAGAAAACCAAAATTCATACTGGTAGCACTAATATCCAAAATATACACACTGAACACAAAAATCAGATAAATAAAACAAAAATTCTTATCTGATAAAGCTTTAATATCCCCTACGTATACATTCAACCCAAGAAACCATATAAATAAGAACAAATTCTCATCTGATAAAGGAGTAATATAAAATATACACATTGATCATAACAAATCAGATAATTAAAATAAAAAATATCAACTGATCAAGGTCTAATATCAAAATTATACATATTAAACACAAAAAATTAAAAAAATAAAATTGTCCTCTGATAAATATTTAATATCCAAAATATATATAGAACACAAAAAAATAAGTTCAAAAAACAAATATTCTCACCTGATATTGTCTAATAGCCAATATATATATATTGAACACAAGAAATTAGATAAATAAAATAAAAATTGTCATCTGATAAAAGTCTAATATCAATAATATACAATTGAACACATGAAATGAGAAAAAAAAATTCTTTCCAGTAGGTCTAATATTCAAAACATATATATATTGAACAAATGAAATCAGATAAATAAACAAAAATTCTCATCTGATATAGGTTTATTATCCAAAATATATATTTCACATAATTAGATAAATAAAACAAAATTCTCATCTAATAAAGGTCTAATGTCAAAACTATGCATATTGAACACAAGAAGTTGAATAACACCAAATTCTCACCTGTTAAATGTCCAAATCCAAAGTATAAATATTGATATCTAGAAATCAGGTAAATAATACAAAATTTCTCATCTGATAAAGGTCTAATAAAGAAAAAAATTACATATTGAAGACAAGAAATCAGACAAATAAAACAAATATTCTCATCTGATGAAGGTCTATTATCCAAAATATACATATTGGACACAAGAAATCAGATAAATAATATAAAAATTGTCATCTGATAAAAGTCTAATATCAATACTATACAATTGAACACATAAAATTAGAAAAACAAAATTCTTTCCAGTAGGTCTAATATTCAAAATATATATATTGAACAAATGAAATCAGATAAATAAAACAAAAATTCCCATCTGATATAGGTTTATTATCCAAAATATATATATTCCACATAATTAGATAAATAAAACAAAAATTCTCATCTAATAAAGGTCTAATATCAAAAATATGCATATTGAACACAAGAAGTTGAATAACACCAAATTCTTACCTGATAATTATCCAAATCTAAAGTATAAATATTGATATTTAGAAATCAGGTAAATAATACAAAATTTCTCATCTGATAAAGGTCTAATAAAGAAAAAATTTACATATTGAACACAAGAAATCAGACAAATAAAACAAATATTCTCATCTGATGAAGTTCTATTATCCAAAATATACCTATTGGACACAAGAAATCAGATAAATAAAACAAAAATTCTCATGTGATAAAGGTCTAATATCAACAATATAAATATTGATCCCAAGAAACAGGATAAGTAAGACAAAAAATATCATCTGACAAAGGTCTATTATATATATATATATATATATATATATATATATATATATATATATATATATATATATATATATATATATATATATTATATATATATATATATATATATATATATATATATATATATCATAATTTGATAAATAAAACAAAATTTTTCTAATTATAAAAGTAAAACTCAAAAGCTCCACGTTGAATACAACAAATCAGATTAACAACAGCTCTCATCTGATAAATGTCTAATATCCAAAATATACATATAGAAAACCAGAAATCAGATAAATAAAAGAGAAATTCACCTCTGGTAGAATCTAATATCCAAAATATACATATTGAAGGTAATTAGATAAATAAAACAAAAATTCTCATCTGATAAATGTCTAATACCAAAAAGAGACACATGGAACCCAAGAAAACAATAATTCTAACTGGTAAAGTTGTAATATCCAGAATATACATATTAAACACAAAAAATCAGATAAATAAAACAAAAATTATCATTGGATTATGACCTAATATCCAAAATATACAAATTGAACATAATGAGATAAATAAAACAAAAAATTTCATCTGAATATGGTCTAATATCAAAAATATACACATTGAACACAAAAAATTAAATAAAACAAGTCCCATCTGATAAAAGACTAATATCAAAAATACACATGTTGTACACAAGATATCAGATAAATAAAACAAAAATTCCCATCTGATAAAGGTCTGTTATAAAAAATATACATATCCAACCTAATTAGGTAAATAGAACAAAAATTCTCTTCTGATAAAGTCTAATAACTTAATCATGCATATTGAATACAAAATTTAAATAAAACAAAAAATTATCAACGGATAAATCTTTAATATGCAAAATATACATATTGAACACAAGAATTCAGAAAAAGTAAACAAAAATTCTCATGTGATAAATGTCTAATATCAAAAATATACTTTTGAACAAAAGAAATTGAATCATCCAAAATATTCTCATCTGAAAAGGGTCGAATATCCAATATATACATAGTAAACTCAGGAAATCAGATCAATAAAACAAAATTTCTCATCTGATAAAGGTCTGATATCCAAAATATTCATATTAAATTCAAGAAATCATATAAATAAAACAAGTATTCTTATCTGATAAAGTCTAATATCCAAAATTACATATTGAACAGAAAAAACTAGATAAATAAAAGAAAATTTCTCATCTGATAATGGACTAATATCAAAATTGTACATATTGAACACAATTAGATAAATAAAAAATTATTGTTAAAAGTCTAGTATCCACTATATACATATAGAACATAATTAGTTAAATAAAACAAAATTCCCATCTGTTAAAAGTTTAATATCCAAAATAAACTTATTGAAGACAAGAAATCAGAAAAACAAAACAAAAATTGTTATGTGATAAAGATCTACTCTTCAATATATATATTGAACTCAAGAAATCAAAAAAGTAAAACAAAAATTGTGATCTGAGAAAGTTCTAATATCCAAAGCATACATATTAAACAAAAAAAATCAGCTTAATCAAACAAAATTTCTTATCTGGTAAAGCTCTAACATCCAAAAATATAAACACTAAAACCAAGAAATCAGAAAAATAAAACAAAAATTCTCATCTCATGAAGATCTAATATCCAAAATGCACATATTGAAAACAATTAGATAAATAAAAATAATTCTCATCTGATCAAGGTCTAATATCCTACATAACATATTGAACAAAAAAATCAGATGAATCAATAAAATATTCTCCTGTGATAAAGCTATAATACCATAAATATACATATTGAACACAAGAAATTAACAAAAATTAAAAACTCATGAATATTTGATATCCCAAATATACATACAGAACACAAGAAATTAAATAAAACAAAAATTCTCTCCTGATAAAGGTCTAATATCCTAAATATACATATTGAACACAAGAATTCAGACAAATAAACAAAAATTCTCCCATATATATATATATATATATGGGAGAATTTTTGTATATATATATATATATATATATATATATATATAGAGAGAGAGAGAGAGAGAGAGAGAGAGAGAGACTAAGAGGTCCGATAAATAAAAAAAAAATTATCATCTGATGAAGGTCTAATATCCCAAAAAATTCATATTGAACACAAGAAATCAGAAAAAGAAAACAAAATTCTTATGTGATAAAGGTCAAATATCAAAAATATATTTATTGAACACAAGAAAATAAATAAAGCAAAAATTATTTTCTGATAAAGGTATAATAATCAATATATATATATTTAAGACAAAAAATCAGAAAAAAACAAAACCTCACCTGATAAAAGGTCTACTATGCAAAATATACACACTGAACTCTGAAACCAGATAAATAAAGCAAAAATTCTCATCTCGTAAAGGTTTAATAACAAAATTATACATATTGAACACAAGAAAGCATAAAAATCAAACAAAATTCTCATGTGATAAAGGTCAAATATCAAAAATATACTTGTACACAAAAAATTAAATAAAACAAAAAATTATCATCTGATAAAGGTCTAATATCCAAAATATACATATTGAACAATAGCACTCAGATAAATATTCTTAAAATTCGCATCTGATAAAGGTCAAATTTCAAAAATATGCTTATTGAACATGAGAAATCAGAAATTTAAAACAAAATTTGTCACCAGATAAAATTCTAATATCCAAAATACACATATTGAATATAAGAAATCAGAAATATAAAATAAATATTTTCAACTATTATAGGTCCAATATCCAAAATGTACATATTGACTCCAAGTAATCAGAAAATAAAACTAAATTTTCTCCTGATGAAGATCTAATATCCAAAATATTCATATTGAAAATCATTAGATAAATAAAATAAAATTTTACATCTGATAAATATGTAATATCAAAAATATACATATGGAACCAAAGAAATCAGATCAAATAAACAAATAATCTCAATTGATAAAGGTTCAATATCCAAAATATACTTATTGAACACAAGAAATTATATAAATAAAAATCTTCATTTGATAAACCTCTAAAACAAAAAATATACCTACTGAACCCAAGAAACTAAATGAAACAAAAATTCTCATCTGATGAAGTTCTAATATCCAAAATATACATATTGAAATCAAGAAATTAGAAACAACAAAATTCTCAGTGTAATGTCTAATGTACAAAATATACATTTTGAAAACAAGATATCAGATAAAAAAAATTCTCATCTGATAAAGGTCTATATCCAAAATATACATACTGAAATCATGAAATTATAAAAAACAAAAATCTATGGGTAGGTCTAATATCCAAAATATGCATATTGAAGAACAGAAATTAAGCAAAACAAAAATTCTCATCTGATTAATGTCTAAATTCCAAAATATACATATTAAACAGAAAAAATCAAATAAATAAAACAAAAATTCTCATCAGATAATTCTCTAATATCCAAAATATACCTATTGAACGTAATTAGATAGATAAAAAAATATTCTCAGCTGATTATGTTCTAATATCAAAATATACATATTGAATGCAAGAAATCAGATAAAACAAAAGTTCTCATCAATAAATTTCTAATATCCAAAATATGCATATTGATCACAAGAAATCATAAAAATAAAACAAAAAGTTGTCACCTGATAATGGTCTAATATCTAAAATATTCTCATTGAACACAATATATTAAAAAAACAAAAATTGTCATGTATAAAGATGTTATATACAAAATACATCCATTAAACAGAAGGAATCGGATTAATGAAACAAAAATCTCAACTGATAGAAGTCTAATAAACAAAATATACATATTGAATACAAGAAAAAAGAAAGAAACAAACATTCTCATCTGATAAAGTTCTAATGTCCAAAATATACATTTTGAACATACTTAGATAAATAAAACAAAAATTCTCATCTGATAAAGGTATAATATCAGAAATATATTTGTTAAACACAAGAAATTAAATAAAACATAAAATTTCCTGTGATAAATGTCTGAAGCTGGAGAGATGGATCAGAAGTTAAGAGCTCTGGATGCTCTTCTAAAGGTCTTGAGTTCAACTCCCAGCACCCACATGGTAGCCCACAAATCATCTATAATGAGATCTGGTGCCTTCTTCTGGCACACAAGCATACATGCAGGAAGAACACTGTGTACATAATAAATAAATTTAAAAAAAACCTTTAAAATTTTTTAAAAGTTCTAATATCCAAAATTACTTATTGAAAGCAAGAAATCAAATAATTAAACAAAAATAGTCATCAGATAAAGATCTAATATCCAAATTACACATATTGAACACAAGAAATCAAATAAATGAACAAAAATTGCCATCTTAAGAGGACTAATATACAAAATATACATGTTAAATCCAAGAAATCAGATAAATAAAACAAAATTTTCATCTGATAAATGTATAATATCCCAAATTCTTGTATAATATTAGAGGGACCAGCCTTAATATTATATATACATCCTAGGGGCTCAGGAGAGAGACTACTAATGGTAAGGACTACTTTCTGGAAAAAGAATCTCAGCACACTGAGGTCTATAGTCCACTTGCTTTAATTTCTCTGGGACAACATTCCTGTTTACACAGCTTTAGTTCTGTTCTCATGCCTAGCTCCTTCCTTGCCTCATTTCTCTCTATATTTATCTACTGCTCCCTTTAAGTTCTATCTTAATTCTCTCATCTCAACTCTGCCTCATCTAGGTTCATTTCATCTTGTTCTTACCCAGCTAGTACTTCCCCATCTGACTCTTCCTCATCTTTCATCTCGTTCCTCTATTACTCTCTCCTAGCCCTTCAATCTAGTTCTTCCCCATCTCAGATTGTTCCTCTGAATTTCTTACCCATCTAGTTCTTCCATTCTCTTTTCTCTTCCCTATCCCCCCCCCCCATGTCCTGGGAGTCCCGGTATATATACACTTAGATAAAAATCATATAGATGGGCAATAACCATTAATTATCATTTGCAACCCTAAAGGGAAGTGACCAATGGGGAAATGAATTAACTAAAGGCTAAATTTGGGTAATATCTAAGAAGAGGGCTCTTAGGTGCTCAACTATAATCTTAAATGTGATTGTTTTGGGTTAAGGATCTAAAAGTTGTTAGGTCAATGGGAGAAAACAAAACTCTTTTTTTTTCCTGGGGCTCCTATCTGTCCAAGCTATCTGCCTTTTTTCTGCAAGCTGGGGGAAAGTGTGCTCAGTCTCTAGCCAACCTGTGTACAGCTAGATGCCTCTGGTGATAGTTAAAGGAAGATCTGGAACTAGAGGAAAGTTTTGAGAAAGGAGGAAGTAAAGCTTAACTGGCACATCCACCAGGCCTCCTCACACAGGTAGCCTGGATGCTTAAGACTGTTCTTAGAGAGTACAGAGGTATCTCTGATAAGGTACTTTCCTCCATCTGGAGATGGACCTTGCTGGATACTGCCAATGATAATAATTATATGGAGGCTTGAACTGGGATTCTGGCTATGCATAGCTATCAGTGCAGAAGGTTATCTAAACATTCCAAGAAGTGGTTAGGTAAGGAGTGAAAGGTCTATAAAGTTAGCAAGGCTGTAAGAAAGGAGGGTCCAAGATAAATTGTACAAATCTATTACTTAAGGTCCACCTGACCTAGGTGGTGTCTTCTTGTGGAATTTGCCTTAAATCAGGAGACCTTCATGTGGACTGTTATTACTGCTAGTCCTTGAAAGTGGCTAAGGGAGATATCTGATTCCAGAGAAAACCTTTCCAGAGGCTGTTCTACAAAGACCTGGAATGTGTATGTCCAGAGA